CCCCTCTCCCATCTACTGCCCTCCCACCCCTAATATCATGCTTATCCATTACAATTCCATTGACTCCATTCCCACTCTCTACTCCATGTCCCGTGACTATATGTATATATAATTATAGTTGACATACAATATTATTCCTTTTTTATTTTATTTTATTTTATTTTATTTTTTTAGCTGAGCCATCCTGCCACCTGTTGGCAGCTCAGCGGCTGCTCAGCTCAGGCCGTGAATTGAACTGGCGACCCTGTTGTTCAGAGCTCTCACTCTTGAGCGAGCTCTTAACCTACTGAGCCAATCGGCCGGCCTTAATATTATTCCTTTTTTTCATAAAAGGTCCTTGTATATACAATTTATGGAGTTATCTCTATTAATGACATTTTCTGGACGTGTACAGTATTTATAGATGTCTTCAAAACTTAGTTTTGTGTTTGTTTTTTTTTTAACAGAGCCTTTAGTTTTTTATCAGAGTGTAAAATTATATACCTTTTTGAATAAAAAGTATTATAGGCATTCAGTTTTTCTGCTTAATTAATGGCTTTTTTTTACATGTTAAGCTTCCTTCTTTTGAGCCATTGAGGATTTTTCTGATCCAGTATTGTGCAAGTTGATATGAGTAATACTTGTTTCTTCTGCCTTCCTTAGGTTGCTCTTGATAAGCATTCGCCTCCTGGCATTAGAGGGAGAAATCTGTTTTTAATTAATTGACTATGAGGGTCTCATTTGGACTATTAAAAAGAGCACTTTTGTTCCTTTTACTTTTCCCTTGCTTTCTTTAGTTAAAGAGTTCTATAACTAAAAAAAGCAGATCCCAAATAATTAGTGATACTAATTATTCTTAGGATTTTTTTCAGTGCTGTCTGGCACCTGAGACAGCTGTAACATTCTGCCATCCCCTGGAGAATACACCTTTCTTAGTTTTATTTTTTCCTCCTCTTTTCCTGAAGAATACTTGTGTGTAAGCATGGTGGTAAGACTATCCACTTTAAAATCATATCCCTTCTCCATCACAACTTGTTTTTTGGCTATTTGTTAGCATGTGAATTCGGTTGCCAGACCTAGCACTACTGCCCAGCTATGGTCCAGTTCTGTTATAGCAGCATCTCATAGCTAATTTGTGTTATATAGGATGTGTTGCTTCCTAGAACAGTCCTTAATGTTCTTATTAAATCCTTAATATTTCAGAAATTGAAAGTTGATTTGTTCTAAGTGAAGATCTTATCTCAAGAAATAATTAGAAAATAAGGATTTAGGATGTGTTCAAATGGCAGTGTATCTTTCATTGTGAGATGACTTTATTATAAAATTGGAGTTGACTGTATTAAATGCAGATTTTTCAACTCAACTGACAGGAGGCTGGCTTTATTTTATTTAGTTTTAGCTGGGAAAAGTTCTGTTATTTGCTTGTTGCCTACTTACTATTAAAAGAAAGAAAAAAAATAGTTTGTAACTTGAAGGATGAACATTTGAAGTCATACTGCATTACTGACCAGTGTTTGTTTTAGTCACTCTGACAACTAGCATTACTACCTTACTAGTCACCATAAAGCAAAATGCCATTCTGTATTTAGTTAACTCTGTGATAAAGATCTCAGGCTTTTGAAACATTTTATTTCAAGGAGATCTAAATTGTGCATGCTAATAGATTTTATTTTAACCTAAGCTTTGTTGTCACTTCTGTCTGGCAAAAGTTTGCAGATATCTTATGTCTTCTAACCAGAAGTGTGATGATGGTTTTGTCCCCGTGTTTGGATGCCTCATGTTTTGGGCCTCAAATTCCTAAAGCTACAGATCCACTTGGAGGCAAAATCCTGACTGATTTTTACTGCATTTTATCTAGCCTGTGAATGTGCCTTTGCCCTTGTGTGTTTCTCTGCATCTGTAGAAATGTCGATAAAGCTGGCAGTTTTTGAAGCAGAAACTTCTGTCAGGCTGTGGGAAGTTCAGAGTAAAAAGTGACAAAAAGTGGATATTATTGTTTGAATCAGACCCTTATTAATACTTCATATGTAACAATTCCAAAGAAAATGAAAGTTATTTTTTTCAAAAAGTCAAATCATCAAATCAATATTTTAGTAGTAAATGGAACCAGGTGTTTGCTGGTTTATTTTACAAAGGATACTTGTGCAAGGCGTCTGAGGTAATTATAGTTTGATCTTTTTGATATATTTTTTTAAAAATCACCTAATTTTGTCTGTTTGGCCAAATGTTTGTCTTTTTTCCCCTTTCATGATTGCTGTTGAATATGTAGATTTTATATACTAGGCTTAGTATGAACTAGGAAGTGATGAATGAAATAATTTTATAATTGTATTGGTACAGGAAGATATAAATAGCATGTTATAGTAGGATGTTACTGTACATAGTCTATGGAATAGTCTTTCTAAGGCATGCTTTAATGGGATTTCTCTCAGAAAGAGACTTTAAAAGGAACTGATGGTGGAGATAGAAGAAACCAGTTTTGATTTATAATTGATTGTTTTCATTAAATTATCTTTAAAGGTTTCTTCATTTATCTGGTTTCCTCTTGTAGATGATAGGTAATTTTCCTTGATAACTAGCCATATTTATTGAGAGTAGTCCCTAGTTTGTTAGTATTAAAATAGAGAAATCACAGAGAGGGACAACTTTTCCACAGTTACCCACATTATTTTTGATATTACAAATAAATTAGAAGTTTGCAACTACCATAATAATAATGGGTCCAACCAATTCACTTTCTGAGAGAAAGAGAAAGAGTATGTTTACGGTGGAGCAACCCGTGGACACCTTAACCAAGAGTCAAACTTACACCAATAATGGAACAAACTGACATATGGCCCCTGCTGATGCACCTAGAGGAACACAGAATCAACTGTGCAATTTTCCTGTTGAAAAATATTCAACCAGAATCTAATCACATGAGGAAACAATCAGACAAATCCAAATTTTTGAAGTTTTACCATGCAACTGGTCTGAAAGCTTCAAAAATCTCAGTGTCAAGAAAGACAGCCTGCCTTCCTCCTCAACAAAAAGTTCTGGGGAGCATTTCTAGAGAAAAGGATACTAGAGAGACATGACAGGATAGCATTAAGGGGCATACTGGGACAATTCATGAAATTTTAGTATTAAATAATATATTATTTTATTATACAATATAACATATACATATACAATTATAACTATTGTATATGTTAAATTTCCTGGTATGATAATTATGTTTATGTAGGAGAAGCACAGAACAAGAGCCTTGTTCTGATTTAGAGGTGAAAGGTCTCAATATCTGCAGTGAGTAAGAGAGAGAGTGTGTGTGTGCATGCACTGGGTGCACATGTATGCATGTGCCAATGTAACAAAATGTTGATAATCAGAGGAAACTAAAAATAAATTAGGGCTTAACAGCTCAGGTTACAGACTTTGTCTGCCTTCTCTGCCTCCCTCCAAAACTTTGTTGCAATTTTCAGTAATTGCTTCTTTACCTGCCTTTTAAGTCTGATAATAGCTTAGAAGCATCCTTTTAGAATAATTGAAGTTTTCATCAAACCCATAGAATCATTTATTCTTTGCATAATAACACAATAAGTAATGTTATATCACTTGCTTTTGCAATAATAGTATATAGCTTGACGTATAATATTAGAAGTAAAAATCTTAGGTCTTGAAGTTTGAGTTGGAGCATTCTAAGGAAGTGTTTAGTGGAGAAAACTAAGATCAGGTAAATGATTCTGATTCTTTTAGGTTACTTAAAGCTATTAATTTTGTTTTGATAAATGCTTCTGTTTTTCTGAATATGCTACTTAGGGCTGTCTTTGTGCATTCTGCAAACAGTAAGATACAACATGGCGCTGATATTTATATACATATTGTTCTTTTAGAGTGAAATTAAAGTGCTTGATAATGCAGAATTGACTTATGAACAAAATTTGATTTTGGTTTTTTCGGGTAGTCTTTCGAAAAAGTTTATCCATAAAAGTTTGTGTGTGTGTGTGTGTGTGTGTGTGTGTGTACACGTACACATATATAAATTACTTTCTGTTTTTTTCTTAGAGGAGTGAATGTCGTTCCTTTTCTAGAACTTATTGGGTTACCTGACAGTGTAATAAGCATTCTGAAAAATTCCCAGAGTGGAAATGCTCTAACAGCATATGCCTTGTTTAAGGTAGGTACTATCATTCTTTTTGTTTGTTTTTTTAAGCTGAGCCATCCTGCCACCTGTTGGCAGCTCAGGGGCTGCTAAGCTCGGGCCAGGCATTGAACCACTGTTGCTCAGAGTTCAAACTCTTGAGCGAGCTCTTAACCAACTGAGCCACTCGGCCAGTGCAGTAGGTACTGTTATTAATGGATTGCTCCTCACCCTTAACCAGTGATCTGCTCAGTTCTCTGGAAAACTCCATGTTAGAACCCAGTAGTTCTCTTTTGAACTTAAAATATTGTATTTCATCTCTTATATGTTTAAAGATTAAAGTAAAGTTTGAAAGTTTTAAGTGTAAATAAAATGATGTTTGTGGAAGAACTGCTTTGAAAATAGATCATTCACAACCCACTGTGATTAAATGTGAAACTTCAGAATTTTCAGGGTAAACGTCTGTGTTTTGACATTTTTCCTATTGATAGTATATTAATTTTCCTTACTCAGAGATCCACATGCCACCTGACTTATAGTGAAATTTAGCATTTATTTTGTTTATAATAGTCCATCTTCTTAATAAGTAAAATAGTAAAGTTTAATTGAAATTGTTGTATGTGATAAATCTTAGACTTAGTTGTTAGATGGTATGTATGGTTCATTTTAGAAGTTCATAGTCTTTATAACTGTTTTCTGGATTTAGACAATGCTACCTTTAGATAGTTTCTACACCTATGGGTCTTTATTTCGGAAGAGAAGAATCATTGTAAATTATGGAATTTAGCCATATTAATCTCATTTTTCTCAATTGACAAATAATTATGAGGTTCTTTGTAACTTCATCCTAAGAAAGGAAACAGGTAGAAAGCATTTGGAAACTACATGTTATTTTACTTCTATTGTATAAAAATAGTTAGAATTATGGTTACATAATAGTACCCAAAAGTAAAGTTGTTTTATTTTGTCATCCTCATTAAATCCTCTGAAATCTTGGGAGATTTCATCTTTTATTATAATTTATTATAATTTTGACGAGAGGGCTAAAGCTTAATTGCTGAGTTTTTCAACATAAAACTTATTGAATTCATAAATTATCAAGTTTCTAGATGTAGTGGGTATAATTTAGCCTTAGTAAATCAAACTATGATGATGATGATTTAAACCATTTTCCTAATTGTAATTGTTCGTTATCCCATGCTCCCATAATGTGTGTAGCTCTTAATGTAGTTCATATCACAGTCTCTGTGTTACTTTTATTTTTTAATGTTTGTTTTTTTATTTGATTATGAGTGTCCAGGAATTCAGAATCATGTCTTGTTTCTCTTTGTGTTTTCAGTATGCCTGTTATTGTGCTTTGTAGGCAAATCAATGCTCAGTGCATTTTTGTTGGGTTGGAATTGAAACGTAAAGCTGTACATATAGGTAGATTAGTGTCAGCAGTGTTATTCTCACTCACCATTCTTCTGGGACATGGGAAATGTGGAGGGGGATTCTCTTCTGTATTTACTATAACCCACAGGTTTCTCAAGTAGAGCAACAAACACTGAGATTTATTGCTGCAATAAGGCAACGCCCCCAAAAGTGGTGTGGCAAATATGAAAAACAAAAAAATCAATCTGTGCATATGACCTTGTGGCATTGGTTAGGATGCATTCATAATCCCCTTGCACTGTCCTTGAAATGTATAATTGTTTGAGTTGACAAAAATTTGTTGAGCCCCTACTGTGTGCCAAGTGCCAACTCTTGGTACTGGGAATACTGTAATGAAATAAAGCAGTGCAACATGCCTGCCCTCGTGGAGCTTATGTTCTAATAGTGGGAGGCAGATGGAGAGACAGAGAAGGTCAAGTTAAGAAAAAACACACAGACACACATACACACACACACACACACACACACACACACACACAGTGTGTTTAGATGACAGTCAGTGCTAAGAAGAAAGAACAAACCAGTGATGGAGGATGTGTTTGTGTTGTTGTTTGGTGTTTGCTTGCTTGTTTTTCAGAGGGAGGGTTGCAAGAAGGTGAGAATATTAATCAGTTAGCTGTGTGGGAGAAGAGCATTCCAAGTAGGGGAAACCAAAGTACTAGATCCTGAGGCTGCAGGATACCTGGACTGTGTGAGGGAATGGCGAGAAACCAGTGTGGCTGTGATGAGTGAGTAGGGCCACAGGCAACAGAGTGGCCAGATCGGGGTGACCTGATCGGCCATTGTGAGCACTCTGGTTATTCTCTCTGAGGAGATAGAAAGTCACGGAGCAGTTCTGAGCATCTGACTTGTTTCACAAAATCACTTTGGCTGCTGTATTGAAAACAGTCTCATAGGGCAAGTGTAGAAGCCGAGTGGCCTGGCAGGAGGCCATGCAGCAGTCTGAGTGAGAGCTGATAGTGGCTAGGTCCAAGGTGGTAGCAGGAGAGGCGGTAAGAAGTAGGTGGATTCTGTCAACAATACAGAGAGGCAACCAACTGAATGGGAGAAGATATTTACAAACACCTCTGATAAGAGGCTAATATCTAAAATGCATAAGGAACTCATACAACTCAACAACAAAAAGACAAACAATCCAACTAAATGGGCAGAGGACATGAACAGAAACTTCTCCCAACAAGACATACAAATAGCCAACAGATACATAAAAAAATATTCAACTTTACTAGTTATTAGGGAAATGCAAATCAAAACCACAATGAGATATCACCTCACACCTGTTAGAATGGCTATCATGAACAAGGCAAATATGGTAATAACAAGTGTTGAGGAGGCTGTGGAGAAAAAGGAACCTTCATACACTGTTGGTGGGAATGTAAATTGGTACAGCCGCTATGGAAAACAGTATGGAGGTTCCTCAAAAAATTAAGAATAAAATTACCATATGACCCAGCAATCCTCTTCCTGGGTATCTACCCCCAAAATCTGAAGACATTTATCCATAAAGATACATGTACTCTGATGTTCATTGCAGCTTTATTTATGGTGGCCAAGACATAGAACCAAAGTGTCCATTGATAGAGGATTGGATACAGAAGATGTGGTATATATACACAATGGAGTACTATTCTGCCATAAGAAAAGATGAAATACTGCCATTTGTGACAACAGGGATGGATCTTGAGATTATAAGTCAGACAGAAAAAGTGAAGAACCATGTGACTTCACTCATATGTGGGATATAAAACTGAAGGCAACAAAGGAACAAGACAAATAAAGAAACAAAAACTCATAGACACAGACAACAGTTTAGTGGTTACCAGAGGGTAAGGGGGAGGGGGTGGTAGGAATAGGTAAAGGGGATCAAATATATGGTCAGGGAAGGAGAACTGGCTCTGGGTGGTAAACACACAATGTGATATATAGATGACGTATTATAGAATTGTGTACTTGAAACCTATATAGTTTTGTTGACCATTGCCACCCTAATAAATTTTTTAAAAAAGAAAAAGTAGGGGATTCTGGATATATTTTGAAAGTGTCTTATAGGTTTTGACCCTGAGCAACTGAAGAATAGAGTTGTCATTTCCCTGAGATGCAGACAACTTTGAGAGGAGCAGGTTTGGGGTGGGACCATTGAACATCAAGAGGTCAGTTTTGAACAAATGACATTTTGAGATCCTATTAGACCTGAAGTTGGAAATGATTAGGTGGTTGTATATACTGGAATTTAGGGAAGAGGCTGAGACTTCTGGAAATCTAAATTTAAAAATCGTCACCATATAGATGGCACTACAAACAAACTGGACAGGACTGCTAAGGGAGTGAGGTAGATAGAGAAACAGAAGGAGTCCAGGCACTGAATGCTGTCCCAATGTGTTCAGAGGTAGATGACATGAGGAGCAAGGACGACTGGAAAGGGGCCGCCTCTGAGATGGAAGAAAACCAGGGACTTGAGGGCCTGGCAGCCAAGTGGAGCGAGTGCGCCCAGGAGTAGATTGGGAAAAGCTGCCTTAGGTGGCTCTCATGGTTCAGGGGCCTGTGCACTGTGAGGAGAGCAGTTTTTGTGGAGAGGTGGGGGTGAAAGCTTAGTAAGCTCAAGAGAAAATGAAGAGGAAAATTGGGGGTGGGGAGCACATGTAGCTCTTACAGAGTTTTGGTATCTGGCACACCTACAGTTAAAACTGTGAATTTTAATACAAAAACTTCAGAATGTGATGCAGACTCTGCTTTTATGATTCTTTTTGACCAGTTTGTCTACTATTTAGTTTTGGTTCTTAAATCTCTGGTTAGAGTTAAACCTTTGCATGTCTGCAACACATGGACCATTTTACCACTTGTTGGCCTCATGGAGGTTCTGGTTGGGATTCCAGGCCCAGGGCAGATTATAAGAAAGAAGGAGCATAAGGCCTGAAAAAGTCAAAGGAAAGAGATTTGGAAGTGAAACTAAACTAAATTCAGTAAAGAAGAAACATTAGGCCCGTGCTTACCTCTCACCATCTGAAGTAGTTTGGTTCTAGTTTAGTTCTCGATAGTGTCTGTGCATTGTCAGGGTTTTAAGGAATAGAGAGAGACCTGTGTACCTTTGTTGTTGGTAGTGGTCCTGAGCACTCTTTGATTACCCAATGAATCCACATCCCCTTACCCTCCCAGATTCACTAGCATGCGGGCACAGACTTCGGTGCTGCCACTGCAGACATTCCTGCGTCAGTGTCTGAGTGATGAATATTTGTACAATGAGTTTACAGATGAAGCACCCCTTGTTAGAAGGGAGAACCATATAGGCTATAACTATATTAGCCTTGTGAAGTAATAAAGTAAGTTCAAATTGTTTTTGCTTAAGACGATAGTCATAATCAGGTATTGATCAGCCTATTTGCCTTTTCCTTCAGATTGCAACACCTGCTCGATATACCGTGACTTTGGGGGGAACCTCCTTCACCGTGAAGTATTTGCGTAGTCGTGGCTACATATCAACACCACCTCTTGTTAAGGAGTATCTACAGGACAGGATGGAAGAGACAAAGGAGCTTCTCACAGAGAAAATGGAAGAAACGAAGGATAGACTCACTGAAAAATTACAAGAAACCAAAGAAAAAGTTTCTTTTAAGAAAAAAGGAGAATAGGACGCCTTATATGACAGGTTATAGACTATTCCTGCACTTTAACCCTTTGGAGACTATGGACAAAGATACATGCTCCTGATTATATTTTTGGTTAGTTGCCTAAATATACTAGTTCTCTGAGGGTTAAAGAACTAAGATACCTTTTTAACATTAAATATCGCTAGAAAAATCAGTGTTTTTTTGAAAACAAAGTGAACCCAGTATAAGAATTTTACATCAGTAGCAACATTAAGAAGTGGTTAATGTCTTATAAGTCAGAGCTCTTTTTCAAGGTCTTCAGAATCATACTTGCTTTATGTTTTTGTTGCAGCCATAATTTAGGCAGATGAGGCAATTGACTCCTTGAATAACTGATTTGGCCCAAACAGGATATTAACACTGGATCTGCATCTTTATGTTATTCATTGAGGTTTTAACTATATTCAGTTCTCAATGTGGAGACAAACTATTACCTTTGAATAAGAGGAAATTTAGTGTTTCTATAAAGAGTGTATAACAATTACCAGTTAAAATACAGACTTTACATGAAGAAAGTTGAATAAAAATTGAGTCATATATATGTAAATAAGATGCATTGGTTCTATGTAAATGAAAAAAATGACCATTTAAAATGATTTTTACCTGAATCTTGTTGTAATCAAAATTTTTAAAGCAAATATATATGGCCATAGTACTTTTTCACCTAGAAAAACTTACTGTGACTTGTTTGTGTCCTCCGCAACTAAATTTTCAGAGAAAAAGTGAAAATAATTATACCTTTATTGTTGAAATCAGATTATCTTAAGAGGTGACTCAAGCTTGTGGTTGTCAAACAAATACAGGTTTGGAAGGATGGAAAATGACATCAGGGTTGTCAGTGGAGCCAACTCACTCTCCCTGTCGTGTGGCAGGCCTTGGTCTCTGCAAGCCAGTGCTCTTTCCTAGTGTCTTTGTTCCAGAGTTAATGTTGATGTCATTATAGCATAAATGTTTAAATTGTAGCTGCCGCTTTCCCCCTTATATTGAAATATCCATGCTTGAGAATTTTACTTGAATTTTTTACATTATCTGCTTGAATGAAATTTAGCCCTTGTCAGATGTGAAAGTTGCCATGAATGTGTGGGAATGTTTGAGGATGTCTGTAATCTGTTTCCTTTTGTTTTAACTGCTTTTACTTCAATTCTGACCCTTGAATTGATATTTGGAAGAGGGAATGGCCTCTTTCTAGATTGTCTAGATTGTCAGAGGGACTGCCAGAAGCCATCCTGCAGGAATCACTACTGTTTGGCAGGATTTTGTATTTAATATTTAGTTTGGCCAAATTTAGAGAATACTTTACAGGGAAAAAAGTGTTTACATTTGATACATCTAATCATGTTGGAACACTTCTTCAATTAATAGGCTGTGGTTGGAACCTTTCTTTTGAGGGAGCATGGTGTGTAGTAGAGAGGACAAGAGCTGTTGCTCTGCCACATACAGCCTTGATCAGGAGAATGGTTTGTCTCCTGATACAGAGTTGAACATATGATTTGAAATTAACAGCACATTTTCAAATCTAAGTACAATTTACATGTTTTAACTTGTTTATTAAATAATTCACATTTTTGCAGATATTAAATGTTAAGATATTATCAAATTTCTTGTTTATTTTTCTTATTTTTTTTAACCACTTGAGACTTTGCCTGTGTTTTAAAATCTTGTATAATATGGAACTCTTTCTTCTAAAACAATTTCCTTCCACTCTGCATGTTGCACAGAGCATATTTTCCAATGCGGATAAAGTGTGGGCTCTTTGAAGTCACTAATAATCTTGAGACTAAAATTTTATTTTCCTAAGTATCCACCTTTTGTTTAGTCCATTTGAGTTTTGTTGCAACCCAGTTACATAATTGTGTTGTGTTTATCCAATTATAGAAAGAGAGATGCTGATGAGTGCTTTGAAATTCTCTAGTGAAAAGTTCTCCGAAAATATGAGAAGTTCTTTTGTCATTATTTGGCATCAGAAATATTTGTATCATGTCAAATGCTGTTGCTAGCATAGTGCTAACCTAGTCCTTAAGGCAAGCTACAAATAGCTTACAAGGAGACACCTGTAATATGTTGTATCAAGTTAAATAAATTGTCAAGCTATACAGAGAGTAAATAGTTTGCAATATAAATAATAAACCCCATTTCATTTACAGTCAACCTTATCCTTTGGATTAATTCACCCATAACTTCTGTGAGCTATGAAGCAGAGCAGTTCTGTATGTCTGTATTTAAGTAGGATGTGTTGACAGGGTAAGGAGGGGGCTGTCACTGAGATTTAACATATAAAAAGTGAATGAAAAGGGTTTGCTCAGTGAATTAACAATTGAAATGGAAAAGATTAGGTAAGAGATTTAGCTTATTCAAGAATAATAGCAAAGCCAACCTTTTAAAGTACCAAAAAATGTCTTTCACTGAAACAACCTTTTGTAATATAAGTACTGTTCACAGATTTCAACAAAAGAGAAAAAGAATGCACATATTGAGATTACCTTCCAGTAATGAAAATAATAAAATTATGCCTTCAAACATAATCTTCAGTTTATTTGTTGATACAGAATCTGCCCCATTTATATACAAATGAAAGATACTACTGTAGTTCTTTATGCTCCCAGATGAAATGGAGCTTTTGGCTATCTTATTTCAGTGATTTTAGAAGATAATTCCAGGAATTTAAAAGAATTTACTACTTACTTGACTTTATCTGTGCCATAGTCTGCAATGCATCCGATTTTATAGGTCTAGATGCCTAAGTGGCACAGGAGCTTCCATATGGAAAAATGTGGACCTCTTCCACCTTTGAATTTAACCACCTGGACCAGAAATCTATAGAACCAGAGGTGTGTACTTTTAATTATTTATTCTGCAAATATGAAGTTTGTTCAGTCTCTTATTGGTTCATCTGTATGTTAATGTAGTATCACATTAGTATTAAATGGGATTCCAAAAGATTCCGCATCATGTACCTGAAGGTACAATGGAGTCAAGACTTCATTCTTCTTCCCTGAGAGACTTCAGTGGTCTAGGGACCTACTCCTTCCCAGAATTCATCGTCAGTCTAGAATTTTGGTCTGGCCTGATTCTTGAAAGACTTTTCTCCTGTACTTAGACCTTGTAACATATAAAGTTGGACAATTAAGTTCGCGAACTCATCCTAGAAAAAGGGCTACATACCTCATTGCTGAGTATCACTATGGTCAGCTTTGAAGTACTCCCCTTGGGAAGCTATGCACTCACTGCAGCACCTGGTTCATCCTTCAAAGCAATTTTGGAACACTTTTCCTGGAATGGCCATCAGAGCTGTCGTCATATTACCCTTGATGTCTTGAATGTCATCCAAATGTCTTCCTTTCAATATTTCCTTTATCTTTGGGTAAAGAAAGAAGTCATTGGGGGCCAGATCAGGTGAGTAGGGAAGATATTCCAATACAGTTATTTGTTTACTGGCTCAAAACTCCCTCACAGACAGTGCCGTGAGAGCTGGTACGTTGTTGTGATGCAAGAGCCATGAATTGTTGGTGAAAAGTTCAGGTCGTTTTCGTCTTAACTTTTTCATGCAGCTTTTTCAGCACTTCCAAATAGTAAACTTGGTTAACTGTTTGTCCAGTTGGTACAAATTCATAATGAATAATCTCTCTGATATCAAAAAATGGTTAGCAACATTGTTGCAACAACTTTGCAAACTTAATTGTCAGACCTGGTTTTTGAAAAATGCTGAGTTAGGCCAGTTGGATATATTTTTCCCTGTGAGATTTTTCCTTTGCAACTTCTGTATTAAGTGGATTTATTTTAACTAGACAAAACAAGTTTTTAATTGTCTTGCTTCTTCAGGGTTAGGCTTTGAAAATCAAGCTGTATTCTTCCCTATGCATCATTGACAGTCACCAGCAATAACAGTTAACAGATCGTAATTATCTTGTGACAATTATCTGGCTATTTTGATAAGAATGGTCTTATTAGTAGAAAGAATGCATCTTGATTTCAGAAACATCGGGGGCAGAGTATAATGTTAAACCTCTTTATTCTGATCACTTGATTGGACAGTCTTTGTCGGGAGGTGCACACACGTCAATCTCAGACTATGTGGTTTTCCTTTACAGATAAGAGTGCTCATGGAGAATAAGACCAAATAGAAGATACTTTCACATTGTGTTTTCTGTGGGACAACATGGTCCATAAGAGCAGAAGTCATAAGAAGGTTAAAGGATGTTCCACATGCTGCCAAAATCAAATTATATCCTCGTTCTGCCTTAAAGTGAGGATTGCATAGAACCTATCTGCTTTCTTTTCCTCCTGTTTTCTCTGTCCAGCATTTTCTGTTTCGAATTTTGACCGATTTAAATGTTAGAAAACTCTCTTTGAAATGAAACAGAAAAAGGCGAATTTGCACATGAGTGTTTGACTTTCCGTGCAGTGGCATACCAGTTCTCCCTCTCCATCTGTAATGGGCAGCTCCACACGGCCCGTTCTTTGTAAGAGTGGGAAAGCAAACTTCCCGTTGTTCCAACCTGACTTTTTAGTCAAGTGCATGGTGAAAGTCAGCCTTTTATTCTGTTATGCTAATTCCATAAAGTTTAAGCATATGACATACGAAATAGTGGTGATTCTTTATCTTCCCTAATTAGTATATAATTAGATATTTTTAATTCCTTAAATCTGGAATTAACAAAAAAAGAACAGCAATTCCTCCATATACACAGATGTCTCAGTTATTACCTTGTATGTACCTCTAAGATCCAGATTTGAGATTCTATAATGATTGGGCCATATTTTCTTTGTGTTTTATTGAGTTTGAGTTAATATTTTCTTTGGACTCTTAATATGGGGACTTAATTGTCACTGCTGCTTTACTTTTCTAAGAATAGTGGTTACTTTGGTTCTCTCTCATGCTCAGGGTGCCAAAAGTGAGGTCTGTGAAGTCCTCAAATGCCGACTACTCTGACTGCCCTTCAGCTCCGTCTGGAGATAGAATTACAGGACTCGGTTGCCGTGGTGCTCCATCAACATGTACTTTTATTCCCCTATTAAAGAAGATGCAGGATATGGTAGGTGATAATTTGTGTTGCTCGTAGAAATAAGGTAAAAAATAAAGGGCAAATCTTAGTTTCCCCCCAAAGCCGAAAATATTATCAAATACTTTAGTCCACAAAACCTAATGCAACTTGAATTGAGAAATCTAGACCATTTAGTAACTGCATTATTTTGGAAACATTTTAGATTAATAGGAGTTTTGAATCATAAACCCTAGGCTCACAGAGATTTTATATAGAATTTTGCCTTTAGTGAGTCACTTTAGAACACTGAGCCCAATATTTTTAGTTGAAGGAAGAGGCACAGGAGAGCTGGATCTGAAATTCAGATTTCAATGTCCCGTTTAGTATTTTTCCTCTCATCCAGGCACTGAGATAAAGCAAGTCCATGCTCTGGGACTTTTGAAGTATTTCGTATTTTTGGAGCTAAAGTGAATTTATTAATATTCTTTAACCCCTCTCTTCTGCTGCTGGTGCCTTCCATTTTGGGGGGCTTTTAACGTCATGATTTTTCTTTAATTCTTCTAGATTCTATTTTCATCTTTTATTTTTTCTTTAAAATGATAGGGAGAGAGTAGCAAGCAATCTAAACATTGGTAATTAGGTTTAGTCTTTATCCATCTGTACATGTTTAATATTTCTTACATCAAAGAGGATTCGACCTTGGGAATTACCCCATTGCCCCCTTGGTAAGAAGTGAGTTTGCTTTTCCCTATTGCCCCTGATGTCAGCCTATATTTGTGGTATACTTGAAACGAGCTCAGATTGGAATTTTCCATTTACTTGGGTCCAGTCACTGGAACATATGAAATGATCAATTTTCAATATTGGAAAATTTTAGCACGAGAAATAAATTCAGTATATCCCTGATTAAGACTTAATTTTCACCGAAGGACAGAAAGTTGGCCTCTCTGAATCCCATGAAAATATGACCAACCTTAAACCCTGGCACCTCACACCCCATGTGAGCAGCTCTGCAGTACCATGAAGTGTCATAGAGAAAAGCTGTGTTCTTCATAGTGTCGTCGTCTTGTTACATGGGCTCTGTGCAGGGGCGGGGTAGTGTTTAATGGACCTGATAGGCTAAAACTTGCTGTGCTGCACTTGCCCTGTGTCCCTCTGCCACTCACATGTGGGTAGCATGCGTGCACACTTCACGGATACACAGTGAGGGTGGTGAGAACCAAATATGTTCCTGTCGTGGGCAGCAGCCCTCTGTCTGAATGCAGAGGCCTGGGTGGGTTGCAGCAAACTCACCTTCCTTTCCCTTTTCTTTAACTGCGTTGAGCTGAAACCCTTGCAGAGGGAGACCAGCAGATGGTGAAAGAATTGTCAGTGTTGAAAAATGGAGAACATGTATGTTTAGAGGATGTTGATTGTCAGGCAAAAGACAGTGCTTGTGGATAGTATCACAGAAGAGAGTGATTGTGCCAATATTAGCAAAGAGGAGTGAAGAACATGGCATAAGTTCTAGATGTGAAAAGACAAAGGTGCCCAGAGGTGTGACCACTACGAGCCTGAGGTTCATCCAGGGTCCATTTCAGGCCTAAAGTGGAGAAGTAAAGAAAATGCTAAGTAACAGTGTGCGAATCAGCATTTTTAACCATTTATTCTCCCTTTGGAATTTCACATTTTATTACTAAAGCTATAAGAAACACCCTATTCCCTGCCCGCAATGTGGTTCATTAACCAATAATTCTGTAGGCGAACTCTTCCTAGAAAAAGTGCTACATGCCTCATTGCTGAATATCACTACAATCACCTTCGAAGTACTCCCCTTGGGAAGCTGTGCACCAACGCCAGCACCTAGTCCACCCTTCAAAGCAGTTTTGGAACACTTTTTCTGGAATGGCCATCAGAGCTGTTGTCGTATTACCCTTGATGTCCTGAATGTCATCCAAATGTCTTCCTTTCAATATTTCCTTTATCTTTGGGTAAAGAAAGAAATCATTGGGGGGCCAGATCAGGTAAGTAGGGAGGGTGTTCCAATACAGTTACAGTAAAACCTTGGATTGCAAGTAACTTGGTTTGCGAATGTTCTGCAAGACGAGCAAACATTTCTAATACATTTTAACATGGTAAACGAGCGATGTCTTGCAATACGAGTAGTTTGTTTCTGGAACAAATTATTCTCACAATCCAAGGTATTACTGTATTTGTTTACTGGCTCAAAACTCCCTCACAGACAGTGCCATGTGAGCTGGTGCATTGTCATAATGCAAGAGCCATGATTATTGGTGAAAAGTTCAGGTAATGTTTTCATCATTTTCATGCAGCCTTTTCAGCACTTTCAAATAGTAAACTTGGTTAACTGTCCAGTTGGTACAAATTCATAATGAATAATCCCTCTCATATCAAAACAAGTTAACAACATCATTGCAACAAGCTCGCGAGCTTAATTTTCAGACCTCGTACGTCCATAATAATAGGGAAAGAAACAGATGTATTTTACCTAAAACCTATAGGAAGGAAGTTTCAGGCCTAGTGATTTAGTCTTCACATTGACGTTGGTTACGCCAACCCTACATAGCACTAATTGCAAGAGCATTAAAATTGGTGCCTGTTTCTTTCACTGGCATTTGAAGCTACAGTTGTTAGTGTAGAGAGTGTTCCAGGGCAAAGTGCTGTTTACATGTCTGTAGTAATTGGACAAAAAGTTTTTAAAATTAAACCTAGAATATGAAAGTTTAGCAAATCAATAGCAGCTTCCTTCTTTTTTGAGGACCCTCCGTGGCAAACATATTCCTCCTTTCAGACTTCCCCATCGGTGTTCCTGTTGTATAGATGACATTTAAGACAACCTCCCATCAGGGACGTTAACTTTAGCCAAAGCTAATATTTGAATCGCCCAGATCTGTTTGCTCCACAATCTATGCTGCCCTTTAACTGTAAATAGGAAATCTCACAGAAGTGGCACAGATACTAAATCACTTTCTAGTTCCATGCCAAAGTCACATATGACAAACAGCTCTCGCTCAGGCAGCAGCTCAGGGCAGAGAACAGGTGAGGGGATGGCGTAGCCCATCCCGCCACAATGGGAGAGACTGGAGCTTTGTCCTTTGGTTTCCAAGCATGCATTGTTTGCTAGTGTAGCTAGGACATGTTGTGCTTATAGGTGCCTGGTAACAATGGCAACAGTACAACTCTATAAATGCAAATGTCTTTGTCAAAAGGTTAAGTTATACAGGTTAAGAGCTACTATATACAACTGTTTGTAAATATACCGGGGGTGTCAAAAAATATATATATTTATATGACTTATATTCCTCTTTTGTTGTCGGTATATATTATTACAATTTTAATAGTTTTTTCCTTTCTTAAAATGTGTATACATTTTTTTGGCACCCTCTGTATATAATTGCTTCCTGTTAAGGCCTTTTGAAAGTATATTTCAGTCACCACTCTGCTGTGTTCAAATGCACTACTGTTTTTTTAAAAGTGCGTGGAAAGTAGGGTGAATGAGGTTTGCATGATGAGGGCAAAAGCTGAAGTTTTACAAATGCAAAGTTTTAGTTTTTTGGCTGCTGTTTTAATGTGCATTTTTATTAGAATCCATTCAAAGCAAAACATCAAAACAGTGTAATGAGAGAAGTCTAATTATGATGTTCTGAGTAACAGACTCATTATAAATTGCTCTGTGCAAGTGTCACAGTCAGAATATGGTGTTTTATTCCAAGGCTCACTATGGGCTCTGAGAGACTGGAGGATGCTTCTCAGTGTGCCCAGTGTGTCTGTCTCCTTGAGGGTACAGGCAGAGGGCAGCCTTATGAGTGTGACTCCTAGTTGACTTGCTTAGCAGCCGGCAACTCTGCTGTTTCACAAACAAGTTAATGAACAGAGTGAGTCAACAACGAGGGCCAGAAATTGGAGGGGGTTGGGGTCCGGTGCAGGCATGTTTCAGCAGCACTGAAGTCCAGTGGAGAGCTCCCCACATCCCCAGGTTGTGGCATAAGGAAGCCTGGGCAGAACTGGAGACCATCTTTAAGGAGAGGCGACGTTGGCCTCCATGTATGTCCTGTACTGAGTGTGAGCCTATCTGGAGAAACTGGGTCCAGAACTTGACATTTCTCTCCATGGCTAGCAGTGCCCAGTGCTTTCACGAAGTGTGTGCACTGTCGCAGAGCCATGAGAGCCCCACTCCAGTGCTTCTTGGTCACCGCCATTTTATCTCCAGCCTAGGCAGATAGTTCTTGTGTACCTGGCGCCTTCCAGGAATCAGTTGCCTGTGTTTTTCTGCCTTGGGATTTCTGAAGTTTTCAGAGCTTGCTCAGTCCACAGCTAGGCACTGGGAAGACAATCCCAAAGGGCAGCCCTCAACAGTGGAGATTGGTGGCCCCGCCTCCTAGCCTTTAAAGGCACAGCCACCATGGTTTCTTGGCACCAAACTAGCCCCTGTTGGCTAGAGTGGAAACCAATGCGAGCACCTTTACTGTCTTCTCTCTCTCCTCATTTACCTGCTTCCTCCTCTGGGAACAGCTCCCGATAAGCCACCTGCATCCAGATTCTTGACTCAGCCTTTGCTTTCAGGGGACCCCACACTGAGACAGCTACCAGATGACACTTGCTACAGGCTCCTTATGGCAGACAGGGACAGAGGGTTTCTCTGCTGTTTCTGTTGTGACAGCAGACCCACGGGGTTACTGAATAGAATCATCACATAGGAATCTCCAGCCCGGAATCCCCCCATTCCTTCTGTGCAGAACTTTCTCCATGAGGAAGATTTACACTAGTCTTAGCTTCACTCAGGGAGAGCAAGTTTGGAGAATATTCTTTAATATTTCTCAAATTAGCTGAATAAGACTACAGAATTTATTCCGGAGCATAGTGTGGTTTATCAGTGACTATTTGCTGTTTTAAGGAAAAGAAATCCTTCGCTTGTAGCTATTTTCCTCCTTATATATAGCTTTCTGATTCCCTTTTTAAAATAATCTTAATTTGGAATTTAAAATGGGTGTTATGACTAGGGTTTTTAGCTCATAACAATTATTTAAATGGTATTTTAAGATTTTGGTTTCCAAAGTTCATTACGGAAATGCAAAAACAAATTGTATTTCCCACAACCATGTTACACTCACTTAATCTAGTACTTTGGTAGATTGTGTGAGGTTTTGTACATATACAGTCATGTCATCTGTGAATCCATATACTTATTTAGAGCTTAGAGATAATACTATTCTAACTTCTCAGTGAGGGAAATTTAGAGTACTTTTCCTACATTATCATGAACTGAAAACCTCTAATGACAAGGACCTTAACCTCTGAGGGCATCTGTCCTACAGTTGAACAGTTCTCATTGTTAGAAATCTTGTTCATGCTTTGGGCTGAGCTGACTTCAGTTTCTCTGTGACAGCCATCCAGAAACTTGACGACAACTACAAACACCTCCCCAGGCGCCTCAGCTCAGGTGAAGCAGTTGTCTAGTGGCTCCTCTCATGAGACCTGAGGATGATCCCTGAATATTCTGTGGTGAACACAGAATTGAGGAAAGAATCATACGAAATGATCTGACCAGAGTTGTTTATAGCAGAATATGATTTTTGTGAAAAGAGTGAATAAAAGTGAACAGAGAAGTTAGCTAGGGAGCCATAGAAGTGTTTCTTTGAGATGGGTTTTGAAACATGTAGTTTTTCTCCCCACCTATGTGTTTTGTTTTTGAAAGATTAAAAAAAAAAACCAGGAGACACATGTATATCACTGATTATTTTTAATAATTTGGTGCTATGGTTTGACCATAGCATTAAGAACAAGCAGAAAAAAGCTGATTTCGTAACTTGAACAGCACTTAGAGCAACATCTTTCTTTAAAAGTATTGCAGTTACAGACCTTGGGTCTAAGAACTACATCACCATTGCTCAGTTAAAGGAGGCAGATGCACAACATTTGGAAGTCTTTTTCTGTATATAACTGGGAATTATGTTGAAAAGTAAGCACAAATGGTGGTAAAAAAGACTTTAATGACTTCTAAGTATCATAGTTCACCTGAACAACTATTTAAAAGTTAAAATACAGTTGTACTTTTTTAGTAGGCTACTTTATAATAAAAATTAAATGAACTAAATGCTGTGAATAGTATTGTACATATTTTAAAACAGTTTTAAACTAGACAAGTATACAATTAGAAAACATGATTTTTGAAAGCCATGAAATGAAAAATAGCAGTACACCAACAAGTACATTAAAATGAACCAGGATCATTAACAGTAAAGTTTACACCTCAGTTAGTTCTATAGAAAGGAAGTTATGGCGTGGTAACAAATTTTAGTACCCCTGAGTCCAGAACATTCTCAGATGACACCCACACTCAACAGTTCTCCCAATAGATGGAACCTGGAGAAGGGGCACTGGATGGGCTAGAGAACACACAGATAATGATCTTTCCATGGCTCTTTCAAAACACATAACAAAAAAAAGGCTGACTTTTAGTTCATTCAGCATTAAGAGTTGCACTGTAGAGGCATTTTTATTGTAGTTTAAGGATAATCAGTAATAATTTATTTTCCGGAGAGGATAAGGGTATGATTCTATTGTAATTTTCAAGATCGGAATATATACCACAGAGCAAATAAAAACTATGGAATTTGTTAGAATTAATATCTTCTAGTGATAGGATACACTGGAAACATGGGTCAGATGGGCAAAATTTCACTGATTGCCTTTAAGGACAACACTGGAAAGGATGCTTACACCCATGATTCAACAGTGGTTTTAGTGAACATGTTGTTATAGGCTTTTCTTTTTCTTTTTTTTTTATATTAGAATATTTGAAGATAAATGCAGAGGTCACAGTCAGACACTGAAAACTGAGCTGGAAGTAGATGCTGTGTAAGAGCTGTGACATAGCATGCAACTGAAAAAGTAATCCCTAACCAATGGTAAGACCTAGTCTGTTTTTTGGGTCAAGATCACCATGAGACACCAAAAGGAATGGACATAAGATTCTTCACTTGGCTGACTGATAGCTAATTCTCTGCTGATGATAACCTGTAACAAAACGTTTTTTTCAAAGAATGAGGTCTTCTCTTAAGTGGGTTCGTTTTTCCTGAGGTATTCTTTCCCTAACAAACCACTGTTACTTCATTGGCTCCACAGTTTCAATTTGTCAAAGAAAAAGGCACAGAGAGATTTGGCACTCAGATGGTCATAAATGCCTCTGTATTGAACAGAATCCTCTGTGGCAGTCTGATTTACCTATTCTGGATGTAATTTTTGCAATTTTGACAAAATATGCACTTTTTCTGGGGTCTGACATCTTTATTATTCTACAACATGGCATAATGTCTTTTTATAAAGCAAGTTGAAAAATCAGCATTTTTTTTTCTTACTGTATCTAATACTGGTCCAACTGAGCATTACTAAAGAGATTAAAATAAGCATCTAGTGGCAACCAAAAAAGATGGAATTTTTAAAAATTATTTTTTAGAAGTGTTTTCACAGCAAAGATGCAACTCTCAATTGCTATACATAACGCTGGTCATAAACTGTGGCTTGCTTGTTCTAACTTCTTTCCCTTGTGTTATAATATCAATATTTAATAGGAAAATAAACTACATAGACTTTTATCTGTATGCATCCATTTGCAAATTTCCTTACAAAAGAGGACAAAGCACATAGGCATTCACAAATTCTATGCCATTTCTGTTAAAATTGGTATCTATACATTATTTTACAGTATTAACAATTTTTGTTCTACCCATTGGGTAGGATATGTGCATAATATATTCAAGTTATATACAGCACCTTACAAATAGGACATAAGAAAAGACAGACAACTGAAGAAGCACCATTGTAAGTGAGGCACAGCAAAGGCGGGAGCACAGAGGACGGCAGTGGTGGGGGCTTGGTTCCTCTGTCTACTAAAAGCAGAACATGAGACAACTTGGGTGCTGAAAAACTACTGACATGCAGAGCTCTCTGAAGTGCTATGGATCCGTATAATATGCATATTTCTCAGTATAGCTTTAAACCCCACCACAGGACACACAAAAAAGCATACAGAGGAAGGAAAGAAAAGGATGAAAAGAAGACAGTGCTTTCTTAGCAAGGCATCCCACTCACACACGACTTTCCTAATGCAGCCAACCTGGAAATCAGCAGCAGCAGCAGCAGCAGCAGCAGCAACTGACTGTCTCACCCTGGCAGAAATTATACATTTGAACTATGCAAATGATGCAGCACTTTGTTTGGGTAGTAAAATAACCCAAGCTGAAACCTTGATTTCTAAAAACTCCTATTCCTAGGATATCACAAGGCAGGAGAGTACTTTCCGTTTGCCATCCATGTCTCTGATCTCTGGATAGAAGGTTCTGGCAGCTGGCAGCAGGGCCTCATTGGAATCCGTAAGTTAGGTGCTGCAAAGCTGCCAAGACTATTATTTGTGACTTGGGTGAAAGTAAAGTTTCTTAATCTGTGACTTTGGTGTGCCACTGTTAGATACAGCATTCCTAACATCGAGGAGGGGAGACTTGCCAACTTGTCATCCAACTGTTACTTTATCTAAATCTGGCAAGGTTGTGGTAATATAGGTGAATGTAAGCGGAACAGGAGCCTGCGTACCTGCTTGTCAATGAAGGTTGGGGATGTTGGTGGCCGGCGAGGAGGCAGGCTTGGGAGAATATGTCACTCACTGTGCAAGGGATTGGCACCAGGCACTGGCATATTTCTGTTTCTAGTCACTTAGACAAAATCAGAAAGTTAACAAAAACCAAGTATCTTTCCCAGGTTTTTTCCTTCATATACTGTTAAGCTCTCAAAAATTTAAGAAAAATGAATGGCATATGAATTAGCATGCAGTTAATGTTGCCGTGCTGAATATAAATAGCAAACCTCAAAAAGCCAGCACCAGTGCAGCAAATGCAAGACATGAGGCTGCTCAGAACGATGCAGGAGCAAGCGCCAACAGCATAGATGGACTCTCTTTTGAGGGCAGGAGCACAACAGGGTGTATCTCTGTGCTATGAACCAGTACCTCAAGGGCACGACTCTTCCTAAAAAGGACTTTCTAGAGAAGAGCAAATGGATGGAAGATACAGGATCACCTCTGTCAGGATGCAACTACTGGTTCTGAGAGGAAGGTGGGGATTTGAATGGATTCTTCTAGATCAGAGAAGCTTTATGAAAGTGCTTGCCTCTTGACACCTTCTCATGCTTATGAAGAGAAAGGTGAAGAAGATCAAATGGAGATTATTTAGAAGCTTAAGGCTCACTCATCTGTATACCACATTCCTGTGCTGGTGTTAGAAGGCCTCCAGTTTACTGTTGGCCCTTATTTCCTCTCCCATAAATTTGAGCTAAAATCAGTGGATATGTGTGTAGCCTCATGACCAAATCTTTGTAAATTTTAAATATTCTCCTCTGCTATCTTGAAATTTCTTGGATTGTGTGTCTGTGTGTATGTGTGGTGGGGAGGACAAAGGGTATGCTTGACAAGCTTCTTTAACACTCAGTTTTGGTCAGACACACAGAATAGATTAGCTTTTTAAATGCATAATTTGTTTAGCAAAATCTCTTTTTTATTAAGGATGGCTTCAGTGTCTGAAGAATGCTATACTTTCTGAAAAAACAAATATATGTTTGAAGACTGTGTTCCTCTAAATGGGACTCAGTATGCCTTGGGTTTCATATTCTTGGAAGTCCCTGGGACAATGGACAAGTCACAGCAGGATGCCCGAAGTATCAGTTCTTACCAACTATTCTTTCGAACAGTGCAGTCCTTTGTTTTGACATTCTACTGAAGTAAACCTATCATCGATTACCTAAATCACTGCTTCCTAAACTGGGCCCTCAGGCTCCATAAGCACAAGCTTCTTAAACATTAGGCCCTACTGTACAAGCTGCGTCTTCACAATCGCACCTCTTTCCACAACAGACCAGCAAGGAGATGATGCGATATGAACAGGTCAGCCACAATCTTCAAGAGTTACTGATCTAAATTACCTTTTCCCTGTGTTGAAGGGAAACTATTAAGTCATGATGTTGGCTTTTAAACTAAGTCATTACAAAGTACCAGCCTCAAGACCATTCAAATCATGGTTTCGTATGTCACTATCTTTAAATAACTATTTAACCTAAAGGGCAATTCTCTAGAATGGCTGAATGTGAGAAACCTCTCTTTTGAAGGATGATTAAAGTTATTTGAATTAAATAATTGTTTTGTCAATACAGTGGACATCCACGAAACTTTCATATACTTGCAAAATAACTAAGGAATTTACGTTTCTGACCTTAGTTCATTCTTGCAGCAGGTAGGAAAGTTAAGGATTGTAAAACCATTTTGAGCTAGAGCTACAGGGTGGGTTCACCCGTTTTACCAAAATTGCAGGCAAGGTTTGGAATGATGACATCATTAGCTAACCTTGTTATTTTGCATCTGAGGAGACACCTGACCAGTAAATTGCCCCGAACCCCCACCGATGGGGTCCTGACTGGGACAGGTACTTCACCTGACAGGGTGAGACAAGGCTTTGTGCCACAAAGATTGCCAGCTTCCTTCACACACAGGCTTGTGACCCAGGCAATGAGCTGACCTGTCAGGAGGCTCTAGGGCAGTGGGAAAGGCCCAAGTCTCTGGTCCTGAGTCAAGGCTCCCAGGGCTCTGCCCAGTCCACTGCAGCCCTCAATGTACAGACTTCCAAACAGTCCGGAGTATGAGTGACAACTGCTGCCCACCTTTTTTCTTTCCCTTTCTAAGAGTTTGACTAGTCCTGTGGATGTTACTGGGTGAAATGAATAAATCTAATGAAGATCTCAATCCTCAAAACAGCGACCTACTGACCAACCAAGAGAAGCAGCAGAAAAAAGCAGAGGGCAGTGGACAGGACTTATAGCTCAGAACAGTCTCTCCAGCTCTCAGCCAACAGCACAAAGTCACCTCACTGAGAAATGGCCTTGGAGACTCACAGACAGACACAAACACACATGTGCTGATTTGGCATTAAAACTGTAGCAATCAGAGTCATTGAGTCATCATTCCAATCCATTTTGTTACATGCAGAAGCCAAAGGGACCTAACCTGCTCAGAGCAGGTTACAGATAAATCCGCCTGTGGTGCAGTACTGGTTGAATTTATTGGCCGGTGCTGTTATAAAAGCCAAATGCTTCCGCAAAAGAATGTTACTTATTTACATAAGGACAAATGTTTGTAAATATCAGGAATATTAAAACTAAGACTAACAATATTTAAAATTAGTTTCTAGTTGCATTTAGCTGCTGTGTTGTGCTTTTTTTTCTGTGCTTTTAAAGTTGCTCTTCTGCCCTGTAGTTTTGTAACTGACTATCCAGTTCTGGCCACCACTGCAAAGGCTGAGTGAACTCCCACAGGAATTTGGGTTCTGAGCACTGCATTCCTCCAGGAACGCTGCGCCAATACTAGTGAAGATAAGCAATGGCTTATCTTGTTCTGCAACGTGGTGTTCTTTTGTCAATTCCAGAGGCTTCCTATGCATGAAGAACCCACTGCAGGCATCACTTAAACACTTAGTCCAGCGGGCTGCATGGGGACAGAGCCTCTCGAGCACTGACCAGCCATCCAGGACTGAACTGAACTACCTAGGAAAGGAGAGAGACAGTGGGAGTACACTGACAAGTCACATATTTCAACAGGATTAAAAATAACCACCTTGCATTTTAAACAATTTATTGCATAAAATAATGTATGTATCTGAGTATACTTCATGCTACAGTGAAAAAAATCTAAATTACTGAAGAAACTGCACTGCTGGAGGATGAGGGCAGCACTGCATGATACTGGGATACATAAATGCATCTGTCAGGTCCATTTTTAATAAAATATGCGTCCTAAGTCTAGTAGAGTAACCAACAAGTCAGAAATGCTGGAACTTAGTATTCCCTATCTTCCATCCAAAAGTCTCCAAATACTTCAGTGATACACTGCTTATCTGATGCAAATTCTTGCAATAACGACTTTCTTGATTTACATAAGTCGGCATATGTTAGGCTACATCCCCAAACATCTTTACTTGCATGATTATGGGGAGTACTCCAGGGTATTCCTTGGGCCTAATAATAATCCACAGGCGAAAAGACAACATACAAAACTTCACATAAAACAATTCCCTCATGTATATTTTAAACATTAAGATAGTGCAACTTTAAAAAACACATCATCATAAAAACACAAATTAACTCCTTGCATTCATCTAACTTTTCCACTTTATACCTTGGCACAAAAAACAGGAATTTTGAATCATATTTTTAAAACAAAATAAAAGTTCCACACCTTGGGAGAAAAAGCAAACTGGCTAATTCTTCCCCATTATAATACATAATAATGCTTCCTTCTTTAGTCAGTTAATTATAAAACAGGCCATTCTGGCCTCTTGCTCTGCAATCTACTTTCATAATTAAATAAATCAAATACCTCTTTTTATTTCATGATATCTTCAAAGCATCCCTTTCTCTGTGTTCCCAAGCCCACCCTTTGCCAAAACCCCCCCACCCCGACCCCATCCCGACGCCTGCCTCCAAATAAACACTGTTTACAGTCAGAACGGATGGAAGTTTGTATTATTTCAGTCTAGTTTGCATGCAATTCCCCTGAAAAGAATCAGAAACAAAGACCACGTTTGCACATTTGGTTTTACTTAGTTGTAGCACGTGAAACTGAAGAACACTGCCTGGGAGCAGAGGGGCAGTGCAGCCTTCTTCCCTCCTCAGTTTCTTTCTCCTCAAGTGCACATTGGAGGATCAGACAAGATTCCCAGGCTTCCTGTCTTTGCCCTGAATGGGCACCACTGTGCTCCCGGAGCTGTCCTGCTGAAATGACAGTCTGCTCCCTCTGTGCATGTTGCTGTGCTGGGGATGGAAGAAAGAGGCTCCTGGGTAGTGGCCCATCACCTCACTGTACGTCGGGGGTGGCCCCTCCATCCTCCCATTACTGCTGCAGGTGCTGGCACTTATGCCTGAATTGCTGCTGGGTGGGCACGGGCCCCCACTGTACACAGAAATGTCTATCAAGTCGCTGTCGAATATGGTCCGGTTGGGCGGGGCCCTCACAGATTCTCGGTTGAGTTCCATCTGCTGTTCGGGGTCCCTGAGCTGCAGGGTACAGGGCCCCTGGTAGGGAGGCGGCTCTTCCCCATCAGACAGGGAGATGGTGGGGGGAAGGTCAATCTCATGCTGCACATAGGGGTAAGTGGGCTGGAAGCGGCTAAACCGATCCCTCTGGATGAAGGACGGGGCAGTAAACCTATCCCGAGAACGCGGGGCATACATGATCTGCAAGGAAAAGAGGAAAAGCTTGAAGACATTTTTGACACAGTAATGATCATGAATGTGATGATATAAAGAAAATGTATGCTTGGTCTGTGTTCTCACCCATCTGAAAACTTTCCCCCCAAGAAAACAGGAAAAGACTATCACAGAAAAAAAATGTAGTTTTCTTGTTCCTTGTAACTTAAGACCACCAACCTTGCCAAAGTATAGCTTATCCAAGATGGTTCAACACTGGAGAATTGTGGTTAACTGAAAATTTGGGTTTAGGGGGAGTTATTGCGCATGTTATATATACATTTTCCACTGGTTCAAGTAGAATACAAAAGTAACTTCCAAAGTGCAGTAAACAGTAACATAGTGGAAGAGTGCTGTGCAGACAGCTGCACTGATCCTGTCCACCATGTGACCTGGTCCAGGCCTCCACTTCTTTACCTATAAAGTAAGAGGACTGGCAGGCCTGCTTTCCCAGGTCCCTTCCAGCTCTCATAGCAATGATTCGTAAGAGTAGGGAGTGGCTCAGTGTTTTCATTGTAAATATGTTATAACTTCGCACCATGGTACTTGGAACAGGTAGTGGGCACTGGGTCAATTTATTAATTATTTATAGGAGCCTGTTGCCCTATCAATTACTTAGAAGAATATGGAACAAGTGACTTCTTTTTCTTTTTGGTTTCTAAACTTTAACAGTTATTTCTTTCTAGATAAAAGTTTCCTGTAGCTATTTTTAGTAACTGATATGAAAAATGTTTTGTGTTCCAAAGTTAATATGATTATAGATTTTTTCCCCCAAACTGAATTCTTACATCTATTTCACCATCCAGGCTTCTAGAGGAAAGATTACACACACACACACACACACACACACACACACACACAACACACACAATGGATGGAGATATATATATATCTCCATCCATTGACTTCTCCCATACTATATTTTTAATTTAAAGGCAAAAAAACTATGTTATTTTTAAAGTTATACTATTAAACTTAGAGATGTGGAAATGAATCACGTTATATTTATAAACTATGCCCATATCTGCCATGCCTCATTAGTAGCAGCTTATGGGATCATGTAAAGATCAGTGATTCTCAACCTGTTTTTTATAAGAAACTTTAGCACAAATAATCTCTAGGAGATTCTAGGGAAAGACTCCCCCCCCCCCACTCCATCGCCCACCTTTTAAACAAAGTTATACGTATATGCCTTAATTTAAATGTGCTATTTCTTAATCTATGCTTTGATACATTTAATTTTGTTGCAATGGTTTTATTTCCCTCCTCCCCTCCCCTATGCACATCAGGTTCAGTAGCTTCCTCCTGCCACCCACACCCCTCCCTTGTCGAACCCCTTACCTCCGAGGTACCTGGCCGAGGACCGGAGCTGTCTGAAGGCCACAGGCGCCCTTCCTGGTGGTGAGTGGGGGGGAAGGGAGGGAAGAACATTACAAGAAAATCATTAGTTTCATACAGCAGCACCTAAAATCAAGGAACCACATTCCTCTTTGACAGTAGCAGACCTGTTTAAAAGAAAACAACAAAGAATTGGGTTTTTTTTAAGATTTTATTGCGGAATTGGGGGAGGGGAATAGTGTTGGGGAATTGGGGAAGGGGACAGACAAGTTGCTGTCCTTCTGTTCTTCGGTCCAGTTGTGGAGGACGTCGCCTCACTGGCCCATGTTGGTATTATCATTGCACTCTTCCCAGGTGAGGCAGATCGGTCACCGGCCACTGGACGGCCGCTCACGGCGGAAGAATTGTTTCTTTTTTTATACTGAACATCACAATGAGAATTGTGACCAAAAAGAAAAGTTAGAAATTTTAGGTCTCTGCCAGATATGAAATAGACTGGATTTGAAATAGATTTGAAGCTAAACATCTTTCCAGCTCTCTATTTGGATGTTTGAAATACATTCAAATGTCATCAAACTGTATTCAGTCACTACTTAGACTTGAGTGGGTCTGGTGAATTAATCTCTTATACGGAGGCCTACCCCATGCAAACATGCATTACCAGAGCTGGCCAAGTGCCAGCCCTTCTGAACTGTGACTTGGATTTGAGTTCAGCAGCAGCAACAGAAGAAAAGCATTGCCCAGCCATACTGGTTGGCTTTCAAAGTGAAAACTGCAAAGCCTGAAGGCCCTTCGAGCATCTTCTAGTCAGTTTTTTCTTCAGTCCATATATTCCGAAGGCAGATGTAACTTGATATCTAGTTGCTTAACATGGTTTTTCAAAAATGTTTGGCCAGACTGGTAGGATGACAAGCAAACAGTCGGCATTATTAAGAGTCATTTCTAACACCACTAACAAAGCACTGTAATATGTTATCCCTGTTGAACCCAGATTGTTGGCTCCTGGCAAGGGACTGCTGGGCTGTTAGCTAAAGGCCTGTTACTATAATAAAGAGACTAAGAACTATGGGAGTGGGGGTAGGGAGGGGGGCAGCTGTCTGTATTTTTGGATTCCCAGGAATATTTGTGCATGACTTGGTGCAATCACTGAGCCTCCTGAGAGCCAAAAAGGGCCCACAAGCAAACCTGAGAGGTAAAACAGCCCTAAGTCTCTCTTGCTCTCTTTTGTAGGCCAGTATTCTGATATAAACACCCCCTTTGCTGCTCAACAGGGTGTTTGTCCAGTCCATACAACCTGTTCCTAACATACAGGATCTCATGGACTCAGCAGCAAAAATCTGAACAGACCCAGCAGCATTTAGAGGCAGTTTGGTCTTAAAGTTTGACTATAAAATTATGGGATGGGCCATTACTGCTCTGGCCTGGCTAAGGAGATAGACCTAATTGAATCTAATGAAGTGGCTGACCCACACCCATGAGCAGCCTTTCACAGGCCAAGGCAGCTTGCTCAGCACTCAGATCAAAGTGAAATAATCACCACAGTTCTGGGTTCTTACAGCAACTTTCATATTGAAAACAACATAAAAACTCATCCTTGGACATTTTCAAGACTCACAATTCTGCCCTAGCTCCTATTTCTTCCTTGATACCGGAGCTCCGGGTCACTCCCTCTCACCAGCCACCTCACTGATGTCAGCTCTAATCTTCCAGCCAGAGAACTGCCACCAGGAAACAGCAAAAACAGCAGATGAAAGCACAGTGCGGAGCATAATGGCCAGAAATAGAACCACCAAATGAAGTGAGAGGGAAGTGACCCAGAAGTAGGGTTGCACATTTTCTGAAAAAGGCAATAACATCCCCAACAGCTTTAGTCCCCTAGCAAGTAGCCAAACTAGAAAAGTGCCTAAGAGATTAAGCCTTGTGCACACACCATCTTGTATTTCACATCAACCTCCTTGTTACTAAATTCATTGGGCACTTTTTGGCCCTCCTCTCACCTGGCCTCCCAGCAGCACTGGGCTCTCTCTTGTAGATCTCAATGACATCACTCGCCCTGGTTCACACTCTGACTTCTGTGGCCACTTTGTCTGCACCTTGGGGTGGGTGGGGAGGGGGGGGGTGCCTTGAGCTCTGCATTTTGGTTAAATGTTGCAGTTCCTTAGAGCCCTGTCTGGGGCCCCTCTCCTCTCACCAAGGTCTCCCTGGGCCACCTCATTCCCTCCGCAGCTTACAGAGCCACCCTAATGGGGATGGATCTATTTCTGGCCCCACCTTCTCCCAGGAGCTCCAGACACTGTCCACTGAGGAAATCATGAGTGCAGACAGCAGCAGAGCTTCCCTGTGCCATGCACTGCTCCTTCCGATGTCACAAGGTGAAAGCAGGGAGACAGTAGGCAGATTAAAAGAAACAACAACTTTATAGCATTCAATTTTGTGACAAGCTTTCATTTTCTCTTGGATCTTCTTTTATTTGCGAAAATGAAATCTTTATTATTAATGAATACATTATTTGTCATTCTCCTGCTAACTTAGTCACTATCGAGCAATCACTTATGTTTGACCATCTCTGAGCAGGGTGACAACATTTTTCTCCTGAATCTGCAAGTTGTCGGCAGGGCCTGGATTGCAGTAAACATGCCAAGGGAGAGGCTTTCCCTTGTGACAGGGTCACCCAGTCTAAATCCACAAAAACGCACAACCACAACACACACATGAGTGAACACAGGTACGTGAGTGCACATGTGTAGTTTGTCTCCTATGCTAGGTACACTTTGAGTCAATGGAATCTGGTGTTCTGGCCTCCCTGACTTAGCCCTGGAAGTTGCCTCCACGAGCCCTCTGATGAGCACAGCCACTAGGACCCAGGCCTATGAAATCCTTGGACAACCCTGAGTTGCTGGCTGGTCATCAAGGGTCTACTGAATCTACGTCTTGTGGAAAAGGGACGCAGGACAGCTCCAAATCTTGTAGGCTTAAAGACATGCATTTTCAGACTCCTTCACACTCGAGGAATCTGCTTTGTATTTTCCTCCTCCTGAATGGTCAATGAATAGCCATATTGACAGAAAAATTTCCTGTTAAGTTGAATCTGCTTGACACTAAAACATCTGTATTAAAGATTTTTTTAAAAATCACCTTATCTTCCAAATGATTGTCTTCATGATGCCAACGGTGTTATTTGCAGACCTGGAAAATGACTGAATAATTTTCCCTTTAAATCGGATCATCTGGCACTTTTTGGGGGGTGGGTAGTGAGTGGGAAATCAAAATTGACTTGTCTTCTTTTTTTATTAAGGTAAAACATACATAACATAAAATTAGCCATTTAAATCATTTAAAAGTGTACAGTTCCACGGCATTAAGTACATTCACTTTGTCGTGCAACTTTTACCACCATCCATCTCCAGAATGTTTTCATCTTCCCAAGCTAAAATACTACACCCATTAAACACTAACTTCCCATTCCTTTTCCCCTCAGCCGCTGGTAACCACCATTATACTCTCTGTCTCTATGACTTTGACTATTCTAGTACCTCATATAAGTGGAATTATACAATATTTGTCCTTTTGAGGACACATACAATATTGTGTCCTTATTTCACTTAGCATAATGTGTTTAAGGTTCATCCATTTAATAAGAAGAAGGTTCATCCACACTGTAGCATGTGTCCTTCATTTTTTAAGGCTGAATAACATTCCACTGTGGGACCATACCATATTTCATTCATTCATTCATTCATTCATTCATTCACTGATGGATGGTTTAGTTGTTTCTGACTTTGGGCTACTATAAATAACACTGCTATAAAGAGGGGGAACACAAATATCTCTTTGAATCTCTGCTTTTAATTATTTTGTGTATATATCCAGAAGTAGAATTGCTGGATCATATGGTAATCCTATGTTTAATTTTTTTAGGAACCACGATACTGTTTTCCATAGTGGTGATATCATTTTACATTCCCACCAGCAATGCATATGGTTTCAATTTCTTCACATTTTTGCCAACATTTGTTGTTTTCTGTTTCTTTGACAAAGCCATGCCAATAGGTATGATGTGGTATCTTATCTCATCATGGTTTTGAACACTAATCATACACAAATCAGTAAGGTTTCTTCAAAGAAACAGAACCAATAGGGTGTGTGTGCATGTGCATGTGCATGCCTGTGCTAGTACGCATGCGCGCGCGTGCGCGCGCACGCACGCACGCACGCACGCACACACGCACACACACACACATCTTATCTATTATAAGAATTGGCTCATGTGGTTATGGAGTCCCACAATCTGCCATGTGCAAGATGGAGAACCAGGAAAGCTGGTGGTATAGTCCAATCTGAATCTGAAGGCCTAGTGTAAGTCTTGTACTCCAAAAGCCCAAGAACCAGGAGCTCCAATGTCTGAGGGCAAGAGAATTGAATGTCCCAACTCAAGAAGAAACAGAGACAGAATCTGCCCTTTCACCTTTTTGTTCTATTCGGGTCCTCAAGGAATTGGAATGTGCCCACCCACATTAGTGAGGGCAGATTTTCTTTATCAGTCTACTGAGTCAAATGTTAATTTCTTCTGGAATTATGCCCACAGACATGTCCAGAAAGAAATGTTTACCAGTCATCTGGGCATCACTAAGCTCAGCCATGTTGACATGTAAAATTAGCCATCACAATTAGTGATACTGAGCTCTTCTCATATGCTTATTGGCCATTTGTATATATATATCTTCTTTGGGGAAATGTCTATTCAAGTCCTTTGCCTATTTTTAAATTGGATTGTCCATTATTTTGTTGTTGAGTTGTAGGAGTTCTTTATATATCCTGAATATTAATCCCTTATCAGATATATGATTTGCAAATTTTTTCTCTCATTTTGTGAGTTGCTTTTTCACTCTCTTGCTTGTGCCCTTTGACAAACATAAGTTTTTAATTTCTGAAGTCCAATTTATTATATATCTTTTGTTGCCTGTGCTTTTGGTGTTGTATCTAAGAAATCATTGCCAAATCCAATGTCATAAAGATTTTCTCATAATTTTCTTTAAGAGTTTTATAGTTCTGGCTTT